ATGTATGCTACTGAGCCTTGTTGCCCACGCCGGCGGGTACAGGATGATGGTAGACGCCCACAATACTGTTGAATGTCAGATGCACGTGGGAGGTTGTGTTGTCTTCTTCGGGTATGGTAGACGTCGGCGCTAACCACACTGTTGATACCTGGAGGCAAGCAAGGGGTTTTAACATGTTCACCTGGTACGGTAAATGCCGGCGCCCACAACACTGTTGATGCCCAGAGGCATGTGGGGGGAGCCTTACCGTATGGGAGATAATGGCACCCACAATACTGTAGGGGAAAATGTCGGCGCCTACAATATTGCTTGGATTCTGTCGTGCCAGGGAGGTCGCAGAGTACTGTTTCTGCAGGTGTGCAGGGTACGGTCCCCGGTATTTCGGTTTGACTTGTGTGCCTTGCCTTACTTTCTCTGTCCATTTCCTGGTCCTTACCGAGCGGGCGTCCCCGGTCGGTTGGTCCCAGTCGGCTCTGATAGCGCCAGTCGGAGAAGAGCAGTGAGCAGGGGTTTGGCGCATCCCTGGTCGGAGACGCGGGTCGGAGTCGGAAGCGGTGTTTGGCCAGGCCTTCCAGTCGGAGAGGCCGTCCGGAGGCGGGCTGGAGACCGAAGCGAGCGCTCCGGTCAGAGAGGCGGGCCAGAGTCGGAAGCGGGTGCCATTCCTCCTCAGCCAGGCCTTCCGGTCGGAGATTAGATCGCCCCTCTGGCCTATCGTTTAGATACTTGGGCCGGCCCATGAGTTGCACGTTGTCTGCTTGGGCCGAGCCTTTGTTGGGAAGCTGATCTGCGAGGGACCCCGGGTTTATGAAACCGACAGAATATATTAAATAAAAGTACATCTTACATATAGGACGCATAGGATGAGTAGTATGTAAGTAAGTACTCCCTACATTTCAAATTATAAGATGTTTTAGCTTTTCTAGATACATTACTTTTATTATGTATCTAAACAAAGTATATATCTAAGTGTTAGTAAAAGCTATAATTTTTTTTTAAAAAAAGACGTCTTATAATTTAGAATAGAGGGAGTAACTCTTATCATCACAGATGCCCTAAGAAAAAGTTGCCACCATTGGCAGTTAGGCAACTAACTCTTACTTCATCCGTCCTTGAATAAATCAATTTCTAGAGTTGTCTTAAGTCAATCTTTTAAAGTTTGACCAAATTTAGAAAAAATACAACAATATTTATAACATCAAATGAACAAATTATGAAAACATATTTCATAGTGTATCTAATGATATTAATTTAGTGCCATAAATTTTAGCGATCTTTTTTATAAATTCAGTCAGACTTAAAAAATTAGGATAACCCTATCCATTGATTTATCAGGGACAGAGAAAGTACCATCGGCGGTTTGTTCTCTTCTATCCCTCTCCCCTAGGATATATGCTAGGAGGCATTTGTTGTAATAAAACTGTCAACTGTGTGTATAGTTTTTTTTCGCACACTTGTTCAATGGAAATAGGTGGAGATTCCCCCAGCCCACCCCTGATCAACTTGCTCAGTGCTGACTGCTGCTGAGGACAGACTATATATTTGAGGCCTACTCCCTCACTCACTAAATAACTGTCGTTCTCGCTTCCTAAAAAATAACTTTGACTAATTTTATATAAAAAATATTAATATTTATGATACATAATTAATATTATTAAATAGTTCCTTAAACTATTTTTAAAATAAATTTATTTGGAGATATAAATGTTGCACGTAGTTTTTATAAATCTAGTCTTATGCACGGAAAAAAAAAAGATAGTTATTTCGGGACGGATGACCTAAATATAATTGTCAGGAGACAGCATTGACGTAACATGACAGGTTTCAGATAAGATCGCTTGTGCGTGCGCACGCAGTCTCACCCAAAACAGGAATTTCCGTATCACGCTATCAAGATCAGGTAGTATCGTTTTGGCAAATCAAGGGACCAGTACAAACAAATGTCAACAACCAAGCAAGTGGCAGTTTATTTTGTAGTGCAAATCACTAGTACTAAAGCCGTGAGTCGCCGGTGATTGTGTCGTGTGTGACTGGTGTCACAAATCTGGAAACTGTCGATAAATGGTTAAAAAAGTTACTCTCTTCCTCTCCGCAAATAAATCTCATCCCCGGGGATGGTTTGTACGTATTGGATCATTGCCGACGCATCCACAGGGAACTGAACTGTTGGCGACGATAGAGCTCCGGATTCATCATCCGTGGATATGATGGCGAGAGCTCGCCCGCTTGGAAAGCTGCGGCTGCCGTTTCGGGACATGTACGGGCACGGGAGCGGACGTGCCGGTCGCCCGGTCCACGTCAGTACGTCACGATCGCGAGAATCGCCGGCCGGCGTCGGCCACCAGCAGCATGCCAGCAAGAGGACGGGACGGCTGCATGCCGACCTGCCGCCGCCCGATCGAGTCGCGCGTTTAGTTCATTAAAAGTGCGAAAGTGATTCCCAAATTTCGCTTATTAGCAATTTCGTTTTTATTTGGTAATTAGTGTTGCTGACGCAATTTCGTTTTTATTTCGTCTACGTTTAAGCACGTCTCGCAAGATTCGATGAGCAGCGCTGGGAAAACTTTGCAAAACTAAACATGGGCAGGTCGCCGTACTTGAGCTGACGTCGCTGAGCAGTGAGCAGCGCTGGGACTGGGAGTATGTACAGGTCGCCGTACAGGCGGTTCCGGGATGCGGGATCCTGCAGTTGGATTCCACGTGAATCTCGTGAGATTCCAGGAGCTTTTGCAGGTCCGGAGAGCAAATCGAGCCCAGGCAGAGGTGGGCCTGCACGCGGTACAGATAGACGAGGGCCACGTAATGCTCCACTCCTCGATTGGGCTGGGCTACAAATTCGGAGTTGGGCTGCACAAGTGAATACACCTGGTCGTGCCTCTCTCTCTCTCTCTCGTCGGAGCGCGGGTGGGCCAACCCAATGCGTCCCAGTAACACGATAAAACGGAAATATTCATTTTATCTCTGAATTATTGTCGTGGTCTGATTTTGTTCTTGACTTCAAAACCAAACATCTTACTCCATGAGCTTAGAAACCGTTTAAATTACCTCCATACCTAGATTGAGATGGTTTGAATGCGGTTTCATCCTTTTTAGTTAATAAAAATCTAGTAAATACTTAATAAGATTTTTAAACTATGAAAAAATATCTCATGCTTATAAAATTCGGACAACATACCGAAATAAATATTTAGAGCTCATAAAAATATCTCTAGTGGTTCTAGAGAAATAGCAAAAATAGAGAAAAAATGGAATTATGTGTTGTTTGTGTCTAGATGCATTCATGATATGCATTTGTGTTGTTTTTGTCTTATGTTTTGTTGTAAAAAGTTTTGAAAACACTCTTAGGCACCAATTAGAATGTTTTGAAAAAAATTCCATATTTTTTTTATGTTTTTCACATTTTTCTAGATCTAAATCTAATTTTTGGAAGCTTCTAGACATATTTTCACGAGCTCTAATATTATTAATTGAAATTATATATCTAAATCTATCTCTAGGATTTTTTATCGGAGTTTTTAGAAGATTAGAGATAATTTTCATGGTTTAAAGACCTTATCAAGTATTTACCAAATTTCTTAAACTGGAATAGGAGGAACTACCTTTAAAGCCATTCCAAACCAAGATAGGGAGGTAATTTGAATAATTTTGGTGTTAAACAAAAAATCATACCACAACGGGATTTCATGAAGATAAAAGGGACCTTTTCTTTTTTTTTAAAAAAAACACTGCATCAATCCGGGCCCACGAATTCTCTACCAAGTAAACCAGATAGATTGGAGTTGGCGGAGCACCACTTTGATTCCTGGAGCATCCGTCGATCCACAGCTGCTCGGAGTGGCAACCTTATGCAGGCGATAGAAATTCAGCCTGCTTGGCTGTGCTTCTTCATATAGGCTCTGGAAAAGCTAATTTTTAGCATAATTGTTTCTAGCACTTGCAAGCTATTTACTAATTGCTACCACACCTTTTTAGCAATAATTTTTTGCATCCACTCTCACTAATTCTTAGAGCACCTCCAAAAGTCTTTCTTAAACTCTCTCTAAATTATTATTTGGAAAGCCATTTGAACAAAAAAAATATTCTCTATATTTTTTTCACCCTCTAACAACTTTTTTATATCTTGAGCACACTTTAGAGAGTCAGCTGCCCTCTCTATCTTTAGCTAGCGAGAAATCTAAAATATGGATAACCATATTTGGTGATCTAATTAAAGAAGTTGTTGGATTATTTTTGTTTACCAAAATCTCTATTTTCCTATTAATTAGGAAGAATATAAAGAGACTTGAAAATGCTCTAGCTATGTGGGAGGATCCAAATAGGGCCTATTAGCGACACATTACACATGCTAAGTATCCCAAATATATTTGCTGCATTCTACGCTCACATTTCACGATAAACACGGGTTACATGTCCATTTCAGTCGTAGACAGATGCTTTGCTATTATTAAGATATAAACCATACACAGCTACAGATCATTCAGTGTGCACTGAAGACTCAGCTCCACATTCCTGTGGGCAAATGCTGCTTGGAGCCCATCACTTCAGCTCATGGTTTCCAGATGCCGGGCAGCAGCCAGAACCACGTTTCAGGCTGGCACTGTCCAACCGACAGTCTGGGCCGTAAGCACAGCTCACTGCTCCCTTTCAAATTCTAAAACCGTAAAGCATCAGCATGAGGCATGACTTAGAACAGAGACAACAGACAACATCCAGCGCAGCAAGAAAAGGTAAGTTGTAAGTATTCAGAGTGTGATAGCCAGCTCACTGTTGCATACACTGCCAATATCAGCTCTCCTTGTCACAGACAAACGCAATCCAGAGGAAACAAACCTCAGTGGATCTTCATTAACAAGATGTTTTATTTGCTATATCTTTTGGGTACAGCATGGCAATTGCCTAAATGATTTTACTATATGGACAGGAAAATACTTCTACAGTACAAATGCAGTCAGAAGGGGGGGAAATCAGGGAAAGCAGTAGATAAACAGGAGAAACCACGCTTCTTAATCAGCCTTGGTCTGCTGTGCTTGGTTGAGCTTAACTGGGCGCGCCTCGAACCCACCTTCCTTGCGGGTCTGCAGAGTGTAAGGCATGTATGTTCCGAGGATCTTGTCCCACATGACAAAGAAGGGCTGAGAGAAGTTGTACTTGTTGCCATAGGGCTGGTGGTGGATGTCATGGTAAGCGCTGTTGTTGCTGAAGAATACATGGAGGATGTTCCCAGGAAGCCACAGACCACAGTGGTCATCGACGGTCTTGATGGTCGCAAATGAGAAGAAGAATATGCCGGTCCTTGGGGTCATGCCAGATATGAGGAATGAGAGTGCACCGCCGATGGTGTCCAGGATGAGTCCCTCCAGGGGGTGGTTGTACAGAGCTCCAAAGGCGTAGGGGACGACAAGAGTGTGGTGCTTAGAGTGGACGTGCTTGTACAAGAATTTGTTGATATGCATGTATCTGTGCATGAAATACTGCCATGTGTCCATGACAAACATTGCAATGATAAATTGCAATGCAATTACCAGAGCCGAAGGTTGCTTCCTCACAGTCCCATTATCATCACCAAGAACCTGCAGTTCCAGGAAATTTCATGATTGTAAGTCCAGGCTTTCACAGGTGAATTTCAAAGTCAACTCCAAGCAGCATCTAGAACCAATGTTGGTCAAAACCAGAAGGAGAAGTTGTACAGTATTATTAGTAAATACATTGCACTAGGTCAAACTTTCGTGGCTTCTAAATTTCAATGCCATCAACTCAAATTACTTTTGTTTTGTAATCACTGGAAGTAACAGTCCAGTTCCCAATATGAAGTTAAACAAAAGTCACTTATTAACAGTTAAGCTTGTTCAACCACAAAAGAACCAGTGAACAAGTTCAGGTCCTTAGTTAATCTCAGCAATTCGTTCTGAACCTACTGATTCTACCTTCATCAATTACCAAGTCAAGAATACAAGAATCACTGGATTCTGATTCACAACTGCTTGCTTTGCTATTGAAACACATTAAAACTATCTTGAACAGCGGTCTACTTACCAAATTCAGCATCTGGAAAAGAACTAGTAGCAAGATACTACCAATCACACATTTCAGAAGTATCGTGCTGAAAATTACAAACTTTTTTTTGGCAATTAGATGCTGGGAAGAGGAATTACCGTGAAGAGAAGAAGGGAGACAGCGATTTGAAACGCCTGCTGAACAAGGACGCCCCTGACGACCGTCCACTTGGAAACAATGTTCCTTGCCTCCTCCCCCTTGGGATGGAGCCTGTAGTCGTCCATCCCCAGGACGTCCAGGACGACGTAGAGCCCCGAGTAGAGCCAGTACACCGCAATCGGCACGAAGGTGCCCAGCAGCTCGTCGGAGACCGCAAATGCCATCGTCACTCCAGTGAGTCCTGCGACCGTCAGCAAGCGCACAAACACCGAGATGTTAGCCAGCGGCTGACTGGGCTAGCTAAACGAATGATAGAACAGCCGAATCTTGAACCCAAGCGACCGCAATATCCTGGCATTATGACCTAAAAGATGAACGCTAGCAGGAGATACGACGCGAATGGGCAGGCCCGCAGAGGATTATTCCCCTTGCCAATGACCTCGCGAAAGCATTCCGCAGAGCAGAGCGTGACGAATCAGGGCGGATCTCGTTCTTACCAGGCAAGAAGAAGAAGCTTAGCCCCCGACGGTTCCTTCCTTCTCCTGGCTCTGTCCTGTCCCGAATAGGGAAAGAAACGCCTTTTGCTGGATTGCCTCTGCTCCGAGATGGATGAGATGAGATGGTGAGATGAGATGGGATGGAGTGGCCGCCTAGTCCGGCGAGTACTTATAGCTAGCTGGGTGGCAACCGCAATGCTTGTGGTTTGAGAAGGTCGGCGAGAGAGACCGTCGACTGGCCGGCCCTGGGCAGGCGGGGGAGATTTTTTACTTGGCTCCGGTCACCCTGGCTGGCTTCAGTTCCGTGCAGGCGTTGGAGAGGGGAAAGACTAGACCGAGGGGGAGGAGAAGGCTAGTCGCGCTCGCGCACACGGCACACTGCGCGTTCCTGTTTTGACTATTTTGGAGGCGCCTTCTCGGCGGACCGGAGACGGACTCCTTGCATGCGGAGTATGGTGTCAGGTGTCTTGTGTTTTTCTCCTGCTATACGGAGTACTGGTGAGCTACTCCCTCGGTAAATAAACATCTTATAGTATTTTTAAAGGAGATCAATGTTACTTAAAAATTATATATTTACTTTTATGAAAATTATTTTAACATGTAATGATTACACTGTAAAAAAAACTTACTAGAGCTAGGCGGACTATATACTTATAAGTACACTTATCTAGAACAAAATTTCAAATATTAGAAGTGTATTTAATTTGGAATAAAGTTAGTAGTAGTCTGTTGTTGCTGCCTGTTGGACTGCTGGTGGGGAGTGGTGGTGGATGGAGCTGACCGCTGAAGTGGTCGCCAACTAAACCGGCTACAAGGTCTAACCCTAGCAGCGATAAATAAAATGGAACTTTGTGCTGGCACACAGGATTGCAGGACGTGGGAACGGATTCTCTGCAGTCTTCGCAACCGAGGGGATGCACATGCGTCACTTCCTGAGGGAACTTCCCGAGGGAAATTCAGCCTGTTCGGTTGGTTGTTCGTATCGTTGCTGATTCGTTTATGTGAGAGAAAAGTACTGTTGGCTGATTTATTGGAACAGTGTCCATATGAGGGGGTTGGTTGGCCAGCCCAGCCAGCCAGCCACCCCAGCCGATCACGTTGCTTGTCGACGAAAAATGTGTAAATCTGATTCGCAAAAAAATATAAATCTGCTAGCAAAATATTATCATTAAGAAATGACTTAAATACAAAGTTATTACATGAAACATAATTCGTTTCCCCTTCCTGGGAAAAATAAGTTTTTTTTTGCCGTAGGGACTTCACAATGTGGAGTTTCATAGAATTCTCGTTGTACCAGATGATGTATTTTTTAAAACTCTTTTTATAGAAATCATCATTCATAGAAACTCTTTCTTATAACCAAAAAAAGTACTGGACGATGGTTGGGCCGGGCGTATTCTGAACATTCGTATTTTTGTAGTTTGTGAAGACGTACTTGGCCACCTGATTTTCACTAGTCTTTGGACACTTCAGCATTCTTTTTTCAGGACAGTAAAATTCCCTGTACAGCTACATGGATACCTTTGGATACGCAATACTTTGATACATACAAGGAAATACAATTGTATACTATTTGGCATACGTACTGGCTTCGGGTTGCGCATTGGATTTTCTCAGCATGATGCATACCTAGTTCCCTTTAAAAATATAAGTAAACGTAGATATAGGCCCCGTTTGGCACAGCTCAGCTTCACTAGTAAAACTATTTTTTTTAACAGCTTCATGAGCGTGAAGTCGAGCTGTGTTTAGAAAAATTGTTTGACAAAACAGCTTCATGCATGGATAAGAAAGAGAAATGAAGGAGAGAGTTGGGACAATCTACTTTTTTCAGCTACATCCTAACTTATGTCTCTGTGAGAGGACGAGAAAAACAACTTCACCTATGATAGCAAAAAAAAAAAAAGCTCATAGAAACTCATGAAACTACTGTAAGCTGTGCCAAACTGACACATAGTAAATAAGTGCTAATCAGTGATGTGTATACTGGGTCAACTTCTGTACATGCTCAGAAAATTAAAATAATTGTATGAGTCTGAGAATTAGTCCCACTTGGTGTTCTGTATTTGTTTATAGTACTATCAGACGTTTTGGAGCTATTTTGGTGAAATATGAAGATACAAACGGAAACGGAAGTGGAACACATGGATTAGGACACGTACTACTTGAGCATTTACAATTCAGGCTGTACTAGAAACTACGCGCGGCAACGCCGCGCGACAGCCTGTTTTGGCCAGCCGGTGATGCGTGAGTAATAGACCCCAGCCGGTTTGTCACGATTGTTAATACATTGTTAAATATGGGCAATGAACGCCTCATCTTATAACACCTGGTGATAGTTTAGGGCTTTAGGCCATGTTAAGATCCGTGGTGTTTAGGTAAGTTTCTTTTGTTTGTATAGTATTTGTTTGTCACATGACTACATGAGTGATTTTCGTACATTAGAAGTGATGTAAAACTAAGCAGGGTTTTTAGAGCGCATGAATTTATTTTAACATGAACACTGTAGTAAGGAGAAATGTTATCTTTGTCGGAGAGAATCTAGAGTTTCAATTACTATCAAATGGTGGTGGTAGAAACAGTAACAGTGCGGCTCGTAATGATTTGAGAGCCTTGTTTCCGTCATGTGGTAGCCATCGACATCAAGCTGCCCACAGGGGTTGCGCTCAACCCATCGAACTAAACCCAAATATGTAGAAGTAATGCTACAAACACATAAAAATATAGCCTATCAACTAAAATTATGAGCGAAGGAAGTAGACATATAAATGGAGTTTATCATGTGGACTATACGATCTCACTGATAGGTCAGACCAACTTATGGTTGGTTGGTGTAGTAATAGGTATGGAGCGGCTGAAACTTTTCTAGACCCCATAGCAAATTAATTGTTCGTAGCAAAATAATGCAATTAAGTAATGGGAAGTGAAGCATTTGTAGAAAATAATAAGTATCAAAGTATGTAACTTGAGTGATTTTAAAGTCAGAGGAGGCCAGAAGTGTAAAGGAGTTTCAGTCAATATTGATTTTCGTATACTCTCTAAGTTTCTCATTAGTACCAAGTGAGAACCGTCAGATACTCTTATATTTTTCTATGGGGAGAGCAGAGGTGGCTCAACCACGCCACGACACGCTTATAACCTGGTACAAATATCCATCAAACACTTTTGTTCATAACTTGGAAGAAATGGATTAAACAATGGTAGAAGAGGACCAACAAGACATGATACAAAATCATATTCATTTCAAGTTAGGGTAGTTGATGTTATTGTGTCGTTTCTTTAATTATCCGAAACCTGTCACTTAGCCTTCATCTGAAGAGAACATATGGTGCGCCTTGTACACATAATATTCACAACACCTAGGTAAATTTAGGGCTCTAAAAATAATATAGCATTGTTGCTTATTTTACATTGACAATACAAGGGCAAGTTATAAGTTGATCTAATTCAGTTTGCAATAAGGATACCTTTGCATATAAGCAATTTCTTCTCAGCTCTAGTGAATAAATGACACCATATCTAAATATGTCAGGTTTTGCAGCTTAATTAGTACTAAGAATTAAGGGAGTTGATTATGATAATATATTCAGGTAATAACCAAGGAGAATAAGAAGTGTCAGATTCATGTATAAGAATGTGATTTGGCTCAAAGCATAAAAGACAGAAGTGTGTACTCGTTGGAATGAACCGATAGCATAGCAGCTGATCAAATTAATCAAGAGGCTATCAAAGCTTGTGCCTCCTATCCCGAGGACAGAGCAAAATTGTGAAATAGGATGATCTGCTGAGGGAACTCTAAAGTTGTATATGAAATAAAAAGAAAAATGAATACTCATATAACAGGGTGATGATATGGCCATTTCGTCAAACACATGACATGCAAATTCATAGGGAGGCCATCAGGGCAAGCACCGGAGAACAAAAGCCAATATGGAACCACTTTCTATGATGATTGCTTCACCTGTTCGAGTGGGAGGAGATCGACGCCAATCTGCTCTTCATCCCAGCCAACAGCCACCACAACACAAGCACCGAGATGTGCCATCTTCTCAAATGTATTGTATGGGCGTACTGAGCACGTAGGGAAGGGAGGTGGAGGCAATGCCGTAATGGTGATGGGGCTAGAGAAAGCTGACGCGCATAGCGCCTCGTCTCTGGCGGCGTCGCCTGGTATTGGTATTGCTGCCGGTGGGGTGAAAAATGCCAACGCCAGTGGTCCAGTGAGGCAAAAACGCTCGCCTCGTTGCTACACACCCGTGCCACGTCGCGCTGGGCTCGCCGGCGGACTGCGCCTGTGCCGGTGGCACGCACTCGTGGCGGCGTTCGCTGGGAGCTACATCCGTGTGGCGGCGTGCTCGGCTCGCTGCGCCACGCCAGCACTTGCAGTCCGTGGTGGCGGTCATGTACGGCTGGCCTGGCCCTAGGTGTACGTGCCCGTGGCGGCGGCGCTGGAGCTACCCTCGTGGCGGCCTCGCTGGTGGCCCGCGCCGCCGCCAGCGCGATCCGTGGTGGGGTCCGACCCGCCGCCGCGCCCTGCCGCACATCCAGGTGGCCTCGCGACGGTCCCGGCCCCATGCGCCGGCGGCGCAGAACAATTCACGAGCCGCGGCGGGTGGCGACGATTCGCGAAAGTTCGGGTTTCCAGCCAGACATCCGGGTGGCCAGCACCGTGATGACTCGATCGGACGGCGCATATCAATGACGCTTTCGATCCAGCGGGTGGCGGCGTTCGCGAAAGTTCGGGTTTCAGCGGGTGCCCGCAGTTTGGGTGCAGGATTCCTATAAGAAGTCGGACGGTGCATATCACATGAACGCTCGATCCAACGGCTAGCGGGTTAGCGGTGACGTGGCTCTAGCGGGTGCCCTCAGTTTGGGTGCAGGATTCCTATAAGAAAATGGGCCAGTAAAAGTGGTGTAGATTAGGAGTATAGTGTTGTACAAGGGACAAGGCGACCTGGAAAAGAAAAAGAATATGAAAAGGCCATCCATTTTGGACGCGTACGGCGACCAGAAGGCATGAGTGCTTGACCCAATGACCCTCGTGGCCTCTCATCTCTTGACCTGTACGTGCTCGTCCTCCTGGTGCTCACTGTTGTTGGTCAGCAATGGCCAATGGCGTAGTTAAATATTGCAAGCAAATCTACTGAAACAACAGAGAGGGTCTACGAGCTGACTGCTTCAATCTGTTGCAGCTACATCTGCTAAAGATTTCAAATTAGACGTCTCGGCTTTAATTTGTACCGTGGAAAAAAAATACCAACCACGGTTGTTAACCGCCAGTCGATGCGTTGAACATGTGATGTTAGGCAGCCATCTGCAGTTGCCAAGAAAGGAAATTTGTATCGAGTGGTTTGGAGGGGAGAGGACGTGGATTATTAGAGATCAATGCTGGATTGTTGCCGTCAATGTGCCATTTTATTCATGATTTACATGAGTGGTCATCAGTAACACAGCCGTAACAGTTGGTTTCCATCCACATATATTAATTAATGAAATAGAATAGATTACTTCGTGACTATTGATGCATATATATATTTTGAGAAATGAAATAGAATAGGCTGATCAGCCATCAAATAGTCCGATTCTCTATTGTTTAATTTTACATGACAAAAGCATGCCGATAGTAAAACCTAATACAAAATAGGTCAGGCATCAGCGTTAGACTGTTCTTGAAGAGCCCACTCCCGCAGTGAAAAAAAACACAACTGTTATTTTTCTCGAAAATATTGGAGAATCATTGGAGAGTTATGTTTCTTTATATTAAAAAGAAAAGAGGCGAGAACCCTTAGTTCCTTACCAATAAACACTAACACACCAACCCAAAAGAAAACAGCTTTAGTTCAACACAAGTTTACACATATCGCTGACAAAACCCAAAAAAAAAACAGTTTAGTGTCAGCAACACAATACCGTCACCGTCAGACAGAGAAGAAGAAGGCACCGTGCACGACAACACCGATCATGGTCCAGGACGGAGTGTACGTGAACGGCGGCCCAGTACGCGAGTCCAAGGCCCAAAGTGCGCGTGAGCACCGCCAGCCAGAGGCGTACTGGAGTAGTACAAGTGCCGTGTCTTAGAGAGAGTGAGAGATCATGAATGAAGAGAACTGTAATCTTACTTCCTAAGCACCCTCTGTTCTAAGTGAGATTCATCCGAACTATCCTATCCTTATGCTTGCTTCCTCGATCTCTACTAGTCCAGGTCCTATTTAGAGAGCAATAATGCTCTAGCTAAATTTGGAAATGCCTCATCAAAGATACCAATTTTGATGTTTCCAAATAGTCCAAGCTCCTATAGAAATTCTAAGCAGCCACCAATCATAACAAAGTTGAATCCAGTTCGGGTTTGATTATTTAACCAAGGATTCCGCGCTCACCCACCAATCATCTAAGCAGCCATCATCAGTTCTCAGGAATAGCCAAGCTTTTCCAGCAATAGAAACCAAAATTCTTTTGAGAAGGAACAAGCACAGAGCAAGTGATTACCCGGTTCCTCCTCTTAATCACAGTGGACATCAAGAAGGGCAGGGTAGGCCTCGCCATGCTAAATGATAGCGCACAGAGCAAGTGATTACCCGATTCCTCCTCTTAATCACACAGTGGACATCAAGAAGGGCAGGGTAGCCCTCGCCATGCTAAATGATAACGGTCCGCAGTCCAACATCTGAGCCAACAACCACATGGAAAACCAACATTTCACGTTCTTCCATGACTTCCAACTTCTCTCCCATGGTCGTTCATAGGACGACTTGCAGAACATTTGCGGGAAGTAGAGAGGCACGCCAGATGTAGTTCTCTACTTCATGCTGCAAAATCACATCACCAAGCACGTCCAGAGCTCGTATACGTCCCAGAGCTTGTAAGTGCCTCTTGGACAGTCCTCTTATGAGCTCTCCGTTTTGATACATGACAAAACAGATGCGGTGCAAGATCAGCAACACACTGTCCGTGAGAGAAATTTGAACTGGCGTATGGCGGTGAAACCATTCCCAGAAAAACTCGTGACCACAAATGCAAATCGTCAGATATAGCCCCTTGAACATCCTGTATATTAGGATCAACATATACACAAATCCTACGAAATGATCACTGCATGAGCCCTACTTCAATCTAGCAAGTAGCAACCAATCTGCCACTATGCGCACCGATCCATTCACAGAAAGAAATGAGCTTCAAGCATGGCAAGAGATATGCAGCATAAATACATAATTCAACAGTTTAGACCAGTCTTCTTGATAACGAATGCCATTCATCCAAGGAAGGATATTTAAGAAAATATAAAATAGAAGCTACGGTAAACAACTGTTGCAGTTATAGAGACGAACATCCTGTCTTGGTCTGGCTAAGGCTTTCAACAGAGCCATGATCACTCATCACCGATATACTGGACCACCAGTGAAGGAATAGTGTGACGTAACCGGCACACCGGGTCCACTAACCCTTGCAGAGACAGGCCTGATGCTCGTTTCAGCATAAGCAGGGTTAGTGTCATAAGCAGCTGTAAGGTAGGCTGAATGAGGGGGATCCACAGCACGGTTAACAAGTCGATCAGAACGGTAGAGTTCCTCCACACGATCAGCTCTAGTGGTGATCCCCACACGATCAGCATGAGCAGCAATTTCCCCTGGACGGTACAGCTCCTCCACATGAGCACCACGAGTCCGGTAGAGATCATCCAAGCGGTCTGCTCGAGCAGATGCCTCCCCTGGCAGTGCTGTGTGGTCCCTAATGATTGGATCTCTAGTGGTTACATTAGCCACAGTTCTGTCTGCATATCTGAAAGTAAAGAATTTCAATTAGTCAAGGGCTTATCATATACTTCTAGTCAGCATATACAATGCGTTTTGTAAACCATAACACCATGTAAAATTTTGAAGCCTCACTTCCAACACACCATGACACACATAGTGCAAGTATCATATAACCTAGATGATACATTGACAACTGAATAACTGATAGAACATTATGGTGTACGCAAACTGAAACAAAAAGAGAGTAAGTTCGTTCATAACTTACCGCTCAGGCACCAGATTCTCAACAGACTGATAGTATGAATCACCCGATGGAGCCAAAGTGCGATAATATGCAGCGGGGACATGTCGAAGCTCTGGCACAGTAGGCCCATGGTGATGATCTAGGGCCAGCGGAACATAGCGAGGCTCTAGAACAAGAGGAATGTGCCGAGGCTCAGGCGCAAGTGCTGGTGGTTGATAATATATGTGGTGATCACCTTGAACTGGAGCAAAGCGTGGTGCCCTATATGGATCCTCAAGAGGAACATGTCTAACTGCAGGGCGCCTTTCCTCATCAAACCGTTGCTGACGCACTTCTTCAATAGGCAACCTTTCTTCAAAATGATGATATGGCTTCCTTCGTTCTTCATAGTGACGCCTTTCTTCAAGATGATTATTTGGAACAGATTGTGGTGCACTAACAGGCTTAAACAGCAAAAGCAACCTTTGGACCTGCATAATATCACATATTCGTAGTATTATATAGGATATAAATTAGCATTATGTTTGAAATCCCTGAACCACTATTTAAATAATATTTGTAGCATGAGTTCAAAACACTCACTTGTCTTGCGGTGAGCTCTGGGTCAAATTTGCTCCTTGCACTGTAATTTTCCTTGATAGCTTGCTTGAGACTACTCTCAGGGAGAGGACGGCAATCTTTATCAATCTTAAACTTAACCTGCATTACACATATAACATAGTTTTTAATACAAGAATAATGATGAATATTCAACAGAATGATCTTTTAAGGAGCCCTCTTTAGAACATCTTCCGCTTTAGCTTCTCCATATGAAAAAGAGGCAAGTACTGCCAAGCACTAAGACTATCCGCAGTCTTGTGGGGAAGCGGAAGCTGGGATTGAACTAAGAAACCCTATGAGTTGGCTTTTACAAAAGCTGAAGGTAGGCCAAAGTGGGGACTACATCGCTCTTGATCATGGAAACTCTAAAAGGAAAAATTTAAAGATGCCACAGCCAAGCATCCAATTCTGCGTCAAAAGGTTTATAGCTTCATGTTAATCAAGTCAACTAAATACCAATACATATCTAGGGATTGAAAACCTCACTTGCAAGTTAGGTGTGCTTTCAAAACTCACCTACATCTCAATCCCTTACAGTCCAGCAATTGCAAATTTTAGGCATTTTCAAATTACCCCTAATAACCATTGATTAAACACAGTGGCATCCACATACCCAACCTTTGTCTCCTTACTTTGACTTGCCAAGACAAGCTAGCCAACAAGTTTCTCTGAGTTCGCCGCAGCCTTGGCCAAAATTCACTCATGTTCTCCAAATCCAACCACTGCCACCATCCAATACAAGGTGGGGTTCTATAGTATACAAGGCTGTGAACCAAGGAAGCTTCCCTTTATCCTTTCTCTTTGTGCTCAGAGGCGGACCCACCCATAGGGCAAGGTCGGGCGGCCACCCTACCTCCCCTCCATCAGGGGCAGTACTCCGGCCCTCGGGGACCAGAGTGAAACTGTCAAGCGTTAAGAGTGCGACTGTCCGAGGTTGAAGACGGGAGCTGCAGCAGGCCAGCTGCACGAGCAAAAGGGGTGAGGGGCGAACTGGGCCGTCCTAGAGCTCGGGAAGGGGACAGAAGTGTTATGGGTGGCCCAAGGGCTAGTCCATCTACCTCTCACGTCAGGAGAGAGATCAGGTTGTTCCTTAATCCTAGAAATTAGTTTCTTAAGGGTCAAGTCTCGTCATCTATGTACGGATAGGAATGGGACAGTATTTACTTTCAATCAAGCAATGTAGAAGAATTAATCCAAAGTTCCCCAATAGTCTAGTCTCCCTCCAAGCCGATTGAGCCTGGCAGTGTACCCCTATGATCTAGGATCATAACACCTCTGCTATTCTCCACTCATGTTCACACCTGGAGAATCTCTTACACATCCCGATAATACGTGGGATGATCCGAGTAATGGTGAAAGCTACACGATAGCAATGTTTCTCGGTCAGCGGGCATGGAGGAAATATGGAATGGCATACTGCAGGTGTTAGACCATAAGGACTTAAGACAGCTCAGTAATTTCCCCCCAAAAAACTTGAAAAGTCTTTGGCCCGCTTTACAATCTTACTCATGGCAACCTTCCAATCATCAAATTAGGAATGCAAAAAAACAAGTTGGTATGAGCATTATTGTGTAAAAAAACCAAGTATTGCATAATGGTTCTCAAACTAAAAAAGAGTTCCAGTTTGAATTGAGTAAAAGTGGTTACCGTATGGACATGACCAAGAAGTGGAATTCAAAATCTGAATTTTTGTCTAAAATCTAGTGAAAAGCAACCAAGCTGAAAAATAAGCTTCTCATATTCAAGCAGTTTTGAAAATTATTAAGGGCCAAATTACCAAAAAGCCAGTTAGTATTAAAGATTAATTCCTAGCATTCAACTATATAACATACCGACTCAACTATCATATCCCAACATATTCAATTCCATTGATGATTGCTCAAGAATTCAATTCATATTTTAGGTGCCTATAATCAGATTTCAGGTTGTTAGGATGATTGTTTTTTGGGTTCATCCTACCACTATCATGCCTACCTAGGATCTTGATCCTAACAATGTTGTGTTCACCAACAACTACATTCCAATGTCCGCTAACATTACTAGTGGTTGATGTCACTAAAGATGCTAATTTGGCATGAACATTGGAATCATGTTTGAAAGGTAGCTAATTTCTGAGGCCTTGTTATAAGGAATTAACTGCCTTACCAAAATGACTCGACCATTAGCATGTTGTCACCCAAAAATGAGTTGACACCAAATATACCTATAAAAAGACCCCTCCCAAGCATCCAAAAATGAGTTTACACCAGATACGTATGAACCCCTCTTTATAAGTTGCACGTAAGGGCATATGCATCAATACTAGACTAGGATAATATATAAACTCCAAAAAAGCATCAACAGGCTCATGTCTATCAGCATAAGGCAATGATGTTAATAAACTGAAAGCTCCTAACATGTTTAAAATGGGATACATCAATGCTAAAAGCTGTCGTATGAAGTTAAAATAACCCAAAAGAAGAATGAAGGTGGGCTAGCTTATATTGGGTACAATTATCAAAAAAAGCTTAAAAGAATGCACAAAGTATGATAGCCTTCTATTTTTGGTACAATAAACGACAAAATGAGAAAAGCTAGAGAGAGAGAGAAAAAAAAAATTCACAGCCTTCATCAATTGAAAAAAAGAATAGCCCAAAATATCTCTATTTCTAGAACTAAGAGCATTTTGATCCAATGCAGAAAAGCTAAACATAAAAGACACGGAAATTCACCAGTTGGAAACAGCAAAGCAATAAAGGCCTTGCTCAATTCTCGATTCAAAAACCTGACAGCCTAGAGTGATGTACAAGGGGCACTAAATTCAAAAGGGGAGGAATTTTTTCTACAGATATATATATTGCCATCAGATTGGCAGAACCAATCGTTATTTGATAATGGCCAGGCAGAACCACAATTAACCCCTGTAACTACATACACCAGGCACACAACAAATTTTCTCAATGTATATGGACATGAGTGCATAGCAACATACTATTTTTAATAAATAGTGAAATCCGCCTATGACATTTAAAAACACATATTTTTCTAATAAGGGTAAGCACCTCTCACTACTGCCATTTCTAAAGCTTTACCAGCACAGATTTAGAACTAAATTTACCAATACCTATAGCCCCAGCAGAATAACATATCTACTCATGTCCACTATTCTTTAAACCACATGTGAACCCTATTCTCGCACGTTCCTCCCACATACAACCGATCAAAACAAAATACATGGCCTGACTACTGCATTTAGTGCAAACGAATCGATGAAATGGAAGAGCAGAATTACCTGTGCAGGGAACTTGCCATTAAATGCTTCATGGACAAGGTTCAGCCCACCGTGTGATGCTGCCTTGTACACACCATACAGAAGCTTCAAGTCAAAATCATACAGGAACAGCTTCACCCCTGGCCTTATCTTCTTGACCATTTCAATCTTCCCACTGGGCATCCCGAACAAGCGGTTCTGGTAGCACTCCTTCTTAGTCTTTGCATTGCACATGAATATAAACCCTGCAACCTTACGGCCACCCCTTTCTTCCTTCTTGCCCACAGACTTCTTCCCCTTCTCGTTTCCCTTACTTCCTCCATCCTCCACAACCTCCTTCCCCTTGCCACTCCTAGACCTCCTTCTTCTGCTCTTCATCCTGCCATCACCCCCGCTATTATCAGCAACCTCGCCCTCGCCCTCGCCCTTGCCCTTGCTGGCAGAAATTGCCGCTGCAGCATCAGCATTAGCATTAGCATGAGCTGGTTTTGGCTTTGGCTTTGGCTTTGGCTTTGGCGACAAAGCTGATGCTTCAGCAGTGGCTGGCATTGGTGCAGGCACTGATCCTTCAGCATCAGTGGCTGGCTTCTGCGTCTGTGCCACAGGTGATGCCTCAGCAAAAGTGGCTGACTTTGGCGTTTGCACCACAGGTGATGCATCAGCAACATTGGATGGCTGCGTTTGCACCACAGGTGATGCCTCAGCAGCAACATTGGATGGCTGCTTTTGCACCACAGGTGATGCCTCAGCAACATTGGATGGCTGCAGTAAAACCGCCGATGCAGATGCATCGCCATCACCAGTGCCTGCGCCTACCGGGGCGACCTTGCCAACAGCTGCGGCAGTGACCGCTGGCTTCTCGCGGTTGGCCTTGGCCTTGACCTTCAGCTTCTTAAACTTCGTGCCCTTGACCGACCCAGGGGTGGACGGATTCGCCTTGGATGGCCGGGCTGCCGCGTCGGCAGAGGTCGCTGTGGCCTTGGCAACGCCGTTGGGCTTCTTCACCATGGCCGCTGCTCGGTGCAGATTTGAGGAGGAAACGAGAAGTATTACCACAAAAGCAGAATTGGATCCACCACAATCGAATAATCGACAGTTATTGCGCAAAAGCAGAATTAGATCCACCACAATCGAGTAATCGACAGTTATTGCGCACGGGTGGATCGATCGCACAGCATATAAACGAATATTTTCGGGGAGGGGGGTCTACGATTTTATCGGATCAGAGAAACAAGAATTTTAGGGCAATCAATCGTGCTCCAAACAAGGGATTTTTTGGGGAAAAATCTACGATTCTAACCGATTCGAGAGAGTATTTGGGGGGAACCTAACTTACGGTCGACTCTACATATGCGGAGCGGCCGAGGAAGGGGGCGACAATCGACATACCTGGAGGTGGAGTGGCCGCGATAGTCAGGGGAAAGGAGGATTTTTTCTGACCAGGACTTGAGACGGCGAGCCAGAGGCGACGGAATATATAGGAAGAAGAAGACCGCCCGATTTTCCCCGATTGCGCTGGTACCCTGTACGGTCCGGATGGAGGGGGCGGTTCCGAGTGCAGAGAGCTAGGTGGTATTATTGCCGTGTATGTTTAGCCTCGCTGAGAAATGATGAAATAAATCTTTTAGTTTTTGTGTTTCTCGAGCGCGCAGCACTCAATTCGATTTCTACAGAAAATTCGGCCTTTCCTCCTCTTCTTCTCCAAGTCCGGGAAGGCATAGAAGGGAGTTCGGGGAAGGAAGACTAGCCAAACGGTGGGGACGACGGCAGAGCGGTTGAGGGGCCCTGGCGACGGTGGAGGCGGCCAGGCTAGGTCGGGGCGAGCGCGAAGCTCTGGCGAAACCCTAGCGTGGCCGCGGCGGGGCGGTGGGCGGTGGCGGGGCGGAGGAAGATGAACAGTGAGCAAACGAATCGAGTGTTCTGACGAGGGGCAGCATGCATGCAACTATATTAATCAAATCACTTTTGGCGTGCTAGGGACCATGACGCCCACCCCCGCGGACACGTTAGCCACCATCTCAGCGCCACATCACCAATCTTGGCGCCAAGTAATGCGGCTACGAACGTGTTTTCTAGTCGAGGTCTATTTTTAAAAATCCTTTCCTTAGAGGTCTAAATGTAATTTTTTAAACAAGGACTAAATTAAAAAAAGTCAAGGGTAGGGACGAGGGCAAAAAAGAGCCCTTCATAGGTCCCAATTAATGGAGCCAACTTGATGTCCAAAGCTAGAAACAGATGAATAGAAAAGGTACAAATATGACACGAAGGAAATAGAAAAATAGAGAAATGGAAAACCGAAGAAAAATATAGAAAAATGTGTTTGAAATACATGAACGAAAATATAAGAAACAAGAATTAGATGGGTTCTATAGATGACAATCATGCACACAACTCTCTTTGGCAGTGACATGTTGTCACGACAAGCATATGTCCCATCATCAGTGTGATGGCAACAAGCTCCAGGTATGAGGGCAGCAATAGCGGTGCCCAGGTGTTGCCTCGGGCATACACGATGGAAAGGAAAACCAGAGCTTTTGAGCGAATGTTTTATTTCCTATGAAATAATGCTATAGTATTATAAAGGAAAGGGATCTTCATAATCCTCTGTTCCAACTTCCAAATGCTCATGCTAACTTCTTTTTCTCCGTTTTCAATTCCTGCAATTTTCCTTTGGAACCCTTCAAATCCAAACGAGGCTTAAAATGTTAAATTTAAGACATATATAGACTCCAGCGAATTTTAGAATCTAGATTCCATAATAGAGGAGGGCCTCAAGGGGGCTCCATTATGTGGGAAGTTGTAGGAGGGTTGGGTGGGGTGGGGGGCTTGAGCCCCGCCCGCCCCATCACTGGGTGTGCTCCTACACAAATGTATGTAATTGTAGGCACTTTAGCCATTTGGACATAGCAAAACAAGCATATTTCCATGGAATTCTAGAAACTTTCCCAAATCTACAAGAGCATGTCTTATTATCTCTCACTTCAAATCTAGCTTCACAATTTCGCAAGACATAACAGAGTTGGGCCCTGCCCGATCTTTCTAACCTTTCCTATGTCTGATCTTTCTAACCTTAAAATGCTAGTACATATTTGTAGGATCTCTGGTTGGCCTAGAGGGGGATGAATAGGCCTGTTAAAACAAACACTCAAACTTTTATCAAATTCACCCTGTGGCACTGCTGCTTTGGAGGGCGACACTGCCGGACTGCGGCACTACCGGGCCAGAACAGCGGCACTGCCGCACCTGCAGACAACTTCGAGTCACAGTTCAAAATCCGTGAACAAAAACTTAGATCGGAGAAATTTCTTAGCTTACTGCAGGTATGACAATCACAGATCAAGAGCTAGAAGTGGTAGGAACACCACACACAAGTAGATCGACTAGAAACCCTAGAAATCACCTCAACCACAATATGTTATGCAAGTAATGTAAATTAAGCACAAATGACACAATGATTTATCCCGTGGTTCGGCTCGCCACTAAGGCTTGCCTACCTCCACGTTGTTGAGGTTAGCCACTAAGGCTTAGGGCTTTCCAACCCTTCCTCGTTCTCAAATCAAGAGACTTAACTCTTGAGATGAGGGATGAGTTTACTAACTTCAAGAGATGGATACAAACCTCCGGAGTTGTCACACAAGTTGGCAAGCTCCACGGGCGATGCTCTAGCCAGCTAGGAGCCAAGCTCCAAGAGTAACAAACACAACCGCCGGCCAAAACGTGAACCAATTGCTATTTTGAGTTGGGAAATCAATGGAGTTGTTCTCTAATCGAATTTTGGACCTTTTTCTCTCAAGGATTGATGGAGAAATCAATAGATTTGCTTGGGGCTTCAGGTCAACAATGGAGGGAGAGAGAGAGAGAGAGAGCCCCTTTTCTGTTTTGAACCAGCTGGAATGAGCAGGAGCCAGAAGAGAGATGTTGGGGAGGAAGAGGATGGGTATAAATACCACCTCAGCCCCAACGGTCACTTAAGTGCGGCAGTGCCGCGCCACGCAAAACAGTAAGGGTAAGAGTGAAGTGTAGACTGTCTTGGCTATAAATCTGAGGATGCATGTGTATATTTGAGCACTTGGTAGCACATATTAGCTTAAGCATTGTGTCCTCCTTTATAGTACGGCTTTTCCTATACTCAAATTCAAAATATAAAAGAATTTAAACCTCCTTTGAGTTTGAAGCCATCTACATTTATAATTGGGGGCTCTTTCGTTTCGTGTAGCATCCTTGAACATGAATTCTCTGCTTGTCATCTCGATAAATCTCATTAGTTCTCTAATTGCGTGGTCATTATCACCAAAACCCACAACTAGGGCTTGATTGCACTTTCAATCTCCCCCATTTTGGTGATTGATGACAACCCAATTAGAGCTTACAAAAGATATAAAATAAATACTGAGATTTTCGAGCCATGGGTGTAGAGCCTCCCCCTAAGTATGTGAATAGAGAATTGAATTATCAAATTGGCATAAGAAGCCAAGATTCACATTTTAGTGAAAGTGATGGGGCTCCCCCTACATCCATGCTCTCTACAATGATACTATGTGTAAACGTGATGCAAATGACAGTTTATGCACAACATACTATGTTAGGTATGTAAAACGTGATGCAAATGACATATAAAGATATTTATGCACAACATGGTTTCCATATCCCACACATATTGTACTTAAGTAGCATTATTATTATATAGAGTTTGTGGACTCTTAAGACTACTCTAACACGAAAGACTTCTAGTCTGCAGCACCTCCATGACACTTGACCCTCTAATTTTCCCCCTTTGGCATAAAGCACCAAAAGAGAAGAAAAGAATCACTCCTCATCCTCTTGGATGGTGTCCCAATCGACATCAAACACCACACAACATATGATACATATAAAGATATACATTCTAGCACAATTATATCACTTGTTGGTTTTGGTAATTGAGTGACAAAGGTGGACTAACATAGATTAATATATGTCCATATCCCACACATATATGAAGGAAAAAGTACTTAAGTAGCATTATTACATAAATAGAGTTTCTAATGGACTCTCAAACTCTCACCTAAGTCAAGAAGACTACTCTAAATGGATACTGAACATGACTTCTAAGCATGAGGCAAAGGTAGACCTCCATGACGTCGAAAAAAGTTGTTGTTGACCCTCTAATTTTCCTCCCTTTGGCATAAAGCACCAAAAGAGAAAGAAGAAGAAAAAAACAACACCCACTCCTCATCCTCTTGGATGGTGTCCCAATCGACATCATCCCCACCAGCACCTCCACTAGCACCTACAACATCCTCCTCTCCACCATCATCATCACATTGGAGCAAGGGTGAAGGAGGAGGAGGAATGTTGGCATCAGTCAAAGAAGACACCATGCCCTCCCTTGGCGTGGTGGTGGTGGAAGTATGGCGCTCACGCATGGTGCTTCTCCTCATGGACTGCAAGGTGGACCTCAAACTCATGTGAGGATCAAGCTCCCGACCATTGCCCGATGAAGGGTAATGGCTAGTTTAGCCTTGGGGCTATAAATAGCTCCTGCTCCTCCTCCTCCTCATCGATTGTGTGAGTGAGCTCCTCTGAGGTTCATCTCTAGGAGAAAGACTAGGGAGGTTGGAGGTTGCCACCTCAAACCTGAGGGGCATTGTGCAGCCGCTGAAGAGCAACTTTAGTGAACTAGAGAAAGAGGTGGAACCTCGGGAGAAAAATCATCGTGTCAACCTTGTTCTTCCCGTTGGTTTGCATCCCCATTACACAAGCTTGCACAGTTGCTCTTGTAATTAGATAGCTTGTGTAGCTAGCTAATTACCTTCTTCTTAATGTAGCATAGAAGAAGCTAATTTGTAAGCTTGTTAGGTTGTGTAGTCGGTTGCTTCATGTAGCAGTAGTCAATTGCTTAGTTTGTGTAGCTAAGTATTTGCGCCTCTAATTAGGCGTTGGTTGCCTTGTTATTGAGCATTGCTAGTGAGCTTAGTAAGCTTTGTGCTTTTGCTTACTAGCATGTGTAGGAGCTCCTTGTTACTTAA